GATCCCATAAATACCAGTAATGATACCTATTACTCATTATTCATTTCCCTCTCCTCATTGTATTCCTCTTTCCTAGTTTCCACAATGACTGTGTACATGTATGAGCTTTGGACCTGATGGTCAACAGAAACTCACTCCCACACTCTTACACATATGTCAGTGGGTTTGGCACTGCTCAGACCAATACCCACAAAATGGGTCACTGGACTCAACCCTTGGTAGCTTCTCTCAATGTATAGAGAAGAGTAAAACATCTTCCTGAGAAATAATCGATAGATCTACATAGAATCTCAAAAAAACTCATGATTGGTTTTGACACCTTAACCCTTTGCAAAAGCTGGAAATAGAAATGAGACCTCCACTCATTAGCATATGCTGTAATTGGTTGTTATGTCAATCTACATTTGAATTGATACCATTTGGGTCCAGTGCAGCCCCTCTATCTTGCCATGAGTTAAAGGTAAAATGTTCTTACTGTTTATGTATAAAACAGTCCAAAATAAATTGAATAATTATTAAAAATCATAAAAAATATGCCAAAATTGGTTTACTTACAGTGTAACTTATTCATCTGAAATTATAAGATAGTCTGATGCATGCTAACAACCTACAATTTAATGGATCAACCAAACAATCTTAAAATATATGGATAAGAAGAAAATAGCGATTACCAAGCACTTTTTTCAATAAATGCTACCAGTTTTAAAAAAGGGATTCATCAACCCTAGATAAGTATATGCCAACAAAATATTTTTCATTCAATTTGGAATCAATAGGCATGATATTATTTTGAGATATTACTTTTTCTCATGGCCAATTTTCGTAATCAACTTCAAACTTTCTTAACTGTTATGCACCAATAATGATTTATGCATTCTCATCCTAAAGGCACGCTGGAACTTGGTATGTATACCATGATAACTGTATTTAAACCTTCTTTTGAAATTTTTCCTTAATGGCTACTTTTCTTTTTTGAAATACAACTAATACATAATTTGCATGTGTTTTAAAAAAGAACAATTGTTAGGGATATCAATGTCTGGAAACAGTTGAATTATTTTTTCTGGAAACTGTGTTGAAAATCTGCATTACCTTGGCTTTTGCCATTTCTAAAATAAGGCTCTATGTAGATGAGCTGTTCTCTCATCTAATTCAATAAAAATCAGCAAACCTTCACTTTCTAACCAAACAAGCCCTAAGCAAACAAGTGTAATACACATACTTTAACAAAACACACTGCTACTGCTTTGGATTAGCCAAATCTTTCCACAGAAGAAGGGTATCACTGTCAATTTTCTCAAAGTGGTTTACTCTCATTCATGTTGCTATCTTTAACATCATCACTTTCACATTCAACTACTACTGAGAAGTCCACAGGAGCACTTTTGGTTTTTTGAACACGTGACCTATTTCCCCTTCTCAAAAACTCATCAATTGATATGACACACCTCTGTTTCCACACTTTATCTTGCTCCTCAGGAGGGATAGAGTACAATTTAAATGCACAATATCTAACAAGGTTAAGTTTATCACTGTCAAGTGCCTCCTTTCCCCTGGTGCCTGAACAATTTCTGTTCAAGATCTCATCTTTAGTGAACAGAACTTTCACCAAATTTACACTAAAATTTCCCACAGAGCAACTAGTTTTTTGTATCCTTTCTGCCCATGACAACAGCTCTTTCATTTGATCACTATCAGTAAGAAGTTCAACCTGATTTTCGGCATTGTTAGTACTATCACAATCAACACAAGCACCATTGAGAGGATAAAATGGTAAAACTGGACTTTGAAGGCCTGCAATGCCATCACCAGAACCTGAATCACTCTGTGTAGTGCCATTAAACTCTTTAGTGTCAGATGAAGCAGTTTGTACCCTTTTTTCACCTCTTGATGGCTTTTCAATTAGACTGGGCACTTCTCCTGTATGACTAGTGGTGGGGAGTGCCAAGTTTTTCAAATGTGCCACAGCTCCAAGGACACTTGCTGAAAGCTGTAATTCACCAGCACTTTCTTTGATGTGCTTTTCAGGTCTTGAATGCTTGTGATTTGCAGTTCGCACCCCATTTAATACATTCCTTCCAGAAGGAACAAGTTTTCTAGGAAGAACTGCTTCCTGCTGATGCGCCATGAGCTTCACTAACTTCTCTTGATTTTTCAGAACTCTTTCCTGGTTTTCCAGTAGCTTTTCCACTTTCCATAACAGTGTAGCTAGTTGCCCATTCACCTCAGGCCCTAAGTCCATCATGTGATATAACTTCAAAGAAAGATTAGCAGTGTCAGGCTAAACTTTGCCATAACTACATATCTTTTCTATACAAATTTAATTTCTGCAAAGCTACAGAACAGCTCAGAAATATGGGACCACAAAGGAAAAAATCCCGAGTGCTAACCAAACATGAAGCTCGCCTTTAGACTGATTCTATGCCAATATAATTGCACTTGGCCTTTAGTCAAACTAGTTTATTGCAACAAAAGGCTAAGAGAATGGTGGTCATCACAAAGTCCTCAAGTAACTTGCTAATACCTTCCAAAGAAGCATTCTTCCCAGCCAAAACTGAACTTTAGACAAATAGCTAATCAAAGAAACTTGGACATAAAAACCTTTCTATTATTTTACCATTTGGATAATTCGCTTTTCCAAAAATACACAAGGATAGAAATTTACAATTGGTTTTGCAAGTTTGCTGGCTTCAAAAGAGCCAATTTGTTCATAAGCATAAGTTGTGTTAAATTAACAAAGCGACTATCAAATAGAGGTGGATTTCAAAAGAATTAGCCAATTAAGAAGCCAAAAGTGTGACTGCGTCTGTTTACCCCTTTAACCCTAAAGATCAAATTAGCTGGTGGAGCCATTTGAATTCAGGATAACACCCTCTACCCAACAAGCTTCTTACGCTCTCATACCTTGTTTGCAGTAACCACAATCAAAAGTAACACGTTGATCACTTCTGGAAGTTAAGGGGTTAGAGGTCCACATTAGACAGAGGTCTACTCACTAAAGGGCTACTTAATGGAGGTTTATTTTTGTTTCAGGCTTTTGTTAAATTGATTAACATGTATAAACAGATCTGAATTCAAACAAAATACTTTTCATTGAGTTCACTGGACACTTTCCTACATGATTTGTTTATTCAACTTTCAACCAATCAAATAGAATGTCTTGTTGCCCCATGCATTCAGAGGAACTTTCCCAAAGTTTAGGAGAGAGAGAATAGGACAAAAATAGATTTAAAAGTTTGTTTCACATGGTTCGTACAACTTCAGACAAAAAGAATTCAAGGAATTTTCAAGGACAAAAAATGGTTTTCAAGGACTAAGTTTTATTCATTTATCTAAACCATTTACAATTGAATACACATTTGCCCATCGCTCAATTAAATCGAAAACAAAGGGAAATGAAAAATTCATTGACCAAAACATAGCCAAACCTCTACATGTTTACGTTGCCCTTTAAAACAAAAGCACACGGCGGACTACCCCATATTGGAGGCCTTGCGCATGAAATCGAGGTACAGATCCAACTTTGCTTCATCTACCAATCACCTTTTATACCGACCATTTCCGCTTTTTGGTAGTTACTAGTGGACAAATTTTCCATAAAAAAATCGTTTAATTTATCAGAAAAGCGATAAGGCACACAGAAGTTGCTAAACTTCAAGGACTTTTCATGACATACTGAAGAAATCAAGTACTTTTCAAGGACTTTTCAAGACGACCATTAAAATTCAAGACCTTTTCAAGATTGTACGAACCATGGTTTCAAAAAGATTGTATTCCTCTGTGGGGATGTGAAGACAACCACAGATTAATTTCTGAGCATCACCTTCTTACAGCCGCACATTGAACTCTACAAACTGTTTATTCCAGTTACAAGCTGACTAAGCTTTTGCTATGCAGGGGAAACCAGCAAGAAAATACCCCAAAAGTGATAAGACCAAAAACATACTTCTTAGTTGCTCAGTGCCTATAACTTGTTGTTGGCTTTTATGAATCTCCTGGGTGCAATTGTATAACTTGACTTCATTAAATTTCTTCATAAAGGGAATTACTATCATCCAGAAATTATTTTCAAAGCAACATCTTTTCAAAGGCCACATAGTGAACTCTGCAAGTTGTCTATTTGAATAACACAATGACTTGACTTGACAGCTGGCTTGTTAGCTCAGTTAGTAGAGCCATGCAACAGTATTGCAGAGGTCATGCATTCAAATCCTGTACAGGCCTGAACTTTTTTCAGGCCTTATTCCCAACTACTAGATTAAGATAAGTAGGGTTTATTACTGTGAGGAACACTTTTACACATTTTAAGTTGACTACTGTTTTGCTTTGCTAATGAAACCAGCAAAAGTAATCTAAAAAGTGACAAGACAAAAAGCATATTTCTGAGCTGTTCAGTGATTTACCTTGATTACTGCTTTTTCTCAACTCCTTGATGCAATTCCTAATTAGACCCATGAATGCTAATTACAAATTCTGTATTTATAGCTGATAATGAAGAGTTTAAGTTTGTTTTCTAAAGTTACAAACTCTTCACAGAGCCTTACAATAGAGATGACTGAACATGCATACATTGTGTCAACTACACAAAGAGATCAACATTCTCACTTAATATTGCATCATAAGTACAGACACATGTAAGTGTACAAGAATTGTAAATTCACATCAGGTGTTTAAATGAGAGCATAATAATAGCAGAAGTTTGGAAAAATTGGGCTGCACTGGACTGAAGGTATACTTGAAGAGAAAGGGTCAGATCTATTTGTAGCCTCTGTTCAATTTTAAAAGAGCCAACTGTTACTTTTTACAATGTCAACCAAAGCCCTGTCTGGAGAATAGCTTGTTTGTACATCAACATTAAGCTTGCTAACCAAACTATACAGAGATCACTATGCATTTACAAATCTTAGTACTCCATACTTTCTACCCACAAACCAGAAATGACTTTTCAAGGGTAAATTCTATTAAGAATTATGTGCTTGGTGCTCTACAACATCACTTACATTCCTTGGACTATGACTTCTCCTTCTTCTCCTAGGGCTCCTACTTCGGCTTTGGCTTTGGCTTCGGCTTCGACTCTTTCTATGCCTGTGATGATCTTACATGGAAAAACATGAATTTTACATAAGTCCACTTGTTATTTAAAGCACAAATTCAAGATTTGGGTCCTTTCATGCACCTCATCAAATGAACAGCTGAGAAAAATGGAAAAAGAGCTGAATGATGCAAGATAGTCTTTGCATGATCTACAATCCAAGGCATGTGCTGCTCTTGAGACCTGTCCACTCTCCCTTGATCACTGAATCAATCATCACAGTTTCTAGGGATAGTCAGCTTTCTTTGAGCAGTTCTGTTCATGTAGGTATAACATATTATGCATGCATTTAGTTCTGGCAGCTACTTCATATTTCAGATTCAAGATGTGAATTTACATAAAGCCCTGATGACACTTCTTCCACCCAGGTTATTCCCAGCTTTTCTTTAAATTCCCTTGCTGCATGCTGGGATCCAATTATACTACTCAGTTAAGAGGGGTATTGTGAAGGGAAAAAAGGAGAAAAAGGAAAAAAAAACTTTTGCTAGGTTTCAAACCCAAATCTTTAAAACTTGAGTTCAGGGCTCAGTTGTTCAAAGGCCAATTCATGCCAACTCGAGGTTAAAATTTAATGCAGGTTTCCTTATTCATATCTTAAAAAGCCTTTTTTGGATAATTTTCCTACTCTTTCTGGGGCATACAATCACCAAATTATAGACATGCATTTTCCTTTATAGACATGCAAATTATAGACATGCATTTTCCTTTAAAGCTTTTGGGTATGAAATCAGAATTCACCCTAACCCTGAGTTATCCTTAGCAAGCTTTGAACAACCCAGCCTAGAGCACTACCCTGGTGAAAATCCTGTTCAGGATCCTGTCCAAGATCTTGATAGGATCCTTACTAGGATCCTACCTGAAATCCTATTCAGGATCTTGTACAAGATCCTATAGGAGTACAAGATCCTATTTTGATGAAACAGGATCCTGTGACATATTACAGAATCCTGTACAAGATCCTAAGGATTTAATAGGATCCTGTATAAGATCCTCTAAGATCTAACAAGCAATAACCGCAGGGCCTGAGTTTGAGTGACAGTAATAGTTAAAATTCAAGATGGGGGCAAAAGGTTAGGGTAAAATAAAATTAGTTATATATTGTATAGATATATTATTATTATCATTATTATTATATATGAGGCATTTTTAGGGTGATGGTTTTTTTTTTGGCCTTTTTTATCCTTGATTGGCCGTTTGATTGGTTCCAATTTTGCCTTGATCTTTTTATGGCTTTCATGTTTATTGCGGAGTGTACTTTAAATTTTCGCTAAATTTTCGTGTCGCTGTGAGTTTGGATTTTTTTTTCTGTTTTGGCTATTCAATTGGTTTGGTCTCCATTGGCAGATGTTTTACAAAGTTTGGCTGCTGAATTTTAATTAAATAAATCTTGATTGGAAACCCGATCGCTGTTGTCTGATGTTTTGTTTTTCTGTATTAGTAAGTGTTAGTACGCCCCACTGGGTTTTCTTTGCCGTTTACAATTTTGTATTTCGCAGGGATGTATTTTTCGCTTCTCCTGCCTTTAACAGCTTTCAGACATTCTAACCTGAAAGAAACTGGAATGGTTATCAAATTATAATAAAAATGATTAAATCCGACCGAACTAAGCATTCTCGACCTCTTATCTTTTGACAACTCGCTTTTGCAACGCGTTAAAAAAATCTCATTTTCAAAAATAGTTGCGTGGCGAAGGGATAGTTTGAAAGATTAATTTCTCCATGAATTAGAGGGCACTTTAGTAGCTCTTTTCCCGAATATTTCGGTAGATTCCTGACAATAAATTATATTCCCTTTCGTTGGCCACAACTTTGAAATCTGATCTCCCATTGATCTTTACTGCGCACATATGTTTAATTTAATGCTCTTGTAACTCAATCACAAGTGGGGAAATCGCTGAGGATGATTGGCATTGTCACACATGAGGTGCCAGGTGTCAATGGGTTAATTTAATCTTATCATTGTTTACTCACCTTGCATCTAGATCTCATTAGAATTTAGAGTCAGTCGAATTTATATATGAAATGGTAGTGTAAATGCAATCCATGTGGGAGAGTTTTAGTGGTTAGCAAAAAACATGCTCAGTAATGTTGATTAACCTTTGTGCATGCGCATTTGGTGTATGATAAAAGCGTGGTGTAATAGTTACAAAAAATGCCAAATATGTTTAAAAATAGGAACTTTATTTATAACAAATTCACTCCACTAGAATACACAACAAATGATATAAATTACAATTAAGGTTAATAGAAAAAAAAACAAAAGAAACTTTATCTTCTGTGACTTTAGTCTTGACTGTTCCTGTTGTCGGATTCTTGTAATTTCTCCTTCCATTTTCAACAATCGTCACAATCACACGGATTAGGCTCTAAAGAGTTCTTGTAATAATATTTTACAAGTACCAAAAAAAGCTTCCTACATAGGATCCTATATATATATCCAGGATCCTATTCTTGTCCAGGATCCTATTCTTGCCCAGGATCCTGATCAGGATATAGTGATCCTACATAGGATCCTATATATAATCCAGGATCCTAGTATTGCCCAGGATCCTGATCAGGATAGTGATCCTACATAGGATCCTATAGAAGTCCACGATCCTATTCTTCCCCAGGATCCTGATCAAGATATAGTGATCCTACATAGGATCCTATATATAATCCAGGATCCTAGTCTTGTCCAGGATCCAGATCAGGACAGTGATCCTACATAGGATCCTCTATATATTCAGGATATTCTTCTTGCCCAGGATCCTGATCAGAACAGTGATCCTGTGTAGGATCCTATATATCTCTAAGATCCTACTTCGAATCCTATTCAGGATTTGTTATCATTCTAGGATCCTAGTCAGGATTCAGATCCTATACAGGATCCTAGTTAGGATCCTGTTCCTTCTCAAGATCCTATAGGATCCTGCATGATCCTACAGGATCCTAGACAGGATTTTCACCAGGGTAACCATAAGTCCTCCACTTATTAATCCCCAACCACTGATTTGAAGTAACTTACCACCTTGATCTGAATGTCTACTTTGCCTTTGTGAAACAGGACACTGCTCCTTTGATCTTTCTGGGGATTTTTCAGGTGATTCTGAAAATGACCTCCTACGATAGTTGCGCTGGTGATTCCTGGGAGAACTTTTTCTTTTGGAAGAATGGTGCAACATCTCCTTTCTATTTTCTGTTGCCTCCTGTGGCTCACCACTCTCTGGTGCCTGACTGTCACTCTGATTCCCAGGATAACTCTCCATTTTGATAGAAATTTCAAGCTGTCTATCCCTTTCCTCTGCTTTACCAAACTGAAAACAATCATAACAATCAATCAAATATAAAACAAATATTTGGTTTTTCTTTATTCCCTTATTAAGGACCAGATGAAAGTTCAATGATGTAAACCAAGGGAATTCCCTACCTGTTTCCTGAAAGTTTGATGATTCACTGAAAGTAATGCTAGATTGAAATAAATCATCAAATATTGTCAATTATTTTCTATAAATAATTAAAAAAACTTAAATTTTGTTTGAATTTCAAACTTTCTTATAAAAATTACTTTCTCTGATTAAAAAAAAAAAACAGAAATGAAACATATAAGCCACCTTTGAATACATTCAACCGCATATATATGTCTATTGCAGTTTCACTAAACTATTTTTCATAGCTTCACCAAATTTCAAACAGGTCCTTAAACTGCTACTGCGATGAAATTTTTGCATTTTATTTTCCCAATTTTCTGGTGTTAACTTCATATTTAGACCCTAAACTATACTGTACTTACCCAAAGTAACAAATTTTCCAAATCTTAAGCGTAAGTTTCTCAAATTTGACAACATTATTCCTTAAAAACAGCGCCACGAAGACATCAAAAATTCTTCTGCCATTGCTCGAATAACACACTGGAGAGCCCATGAAAATAACTACAGCAATTTTAGTTGTGACGTCATCGACTCACTTCAACAACATTGCGGAGGCATGCCTTTACACGAAATACGCAAAAGAAAGCTGGGGAACAATTCTTTCGAATTTTATTCCTTCTTTCCTGCGGAACCAGAAAAACAACTCTCTCGGCATACCAAATTAGCCATGTTTGTTGAGTCGTTGACGTCACTTCTGTTCTTGACCCAGTGTCTTCTTCTTTGCGCGGAGTTCTGTAGTTCGAATGGCAGTCATTTGGATCGCGAATCTACAGGGAAAATAATATTACTTCTCGATGGAGTTTTGCCTTAAGATTTGGAAAATTTGTTACTTAGGGTCAGTCCTTTCAACCTCTGAGGAAAAAAGAAAAGGTGCATTTTTGGTCGCAGTAGCACTTTAAAAGAGTTCGAATTAATTGTGGTGTTTAAGTTATAATTTCCAACTTTATTGTAACCAGTGAAACTAACTCCTGTTGTAAGGATATAAAAGAAAACTTCATAGTTTTACCATGTAGCTCAGAAAGTTAAAATTTTTCTTCCAAGAAAATGAATATTTTCCGTGAAGAAACCAGTTACATACATGACCCAAGAAAACAGAGGGGAATTAATTAACTCACGATAAAAATCAAGGCCCAGTTAGAGGTAAAAAGCATAAGTGGCACACAGTTGACCTGTTAATTGTCTACGAGACTAAGTTTCGCATACTGCTGTCTAAAGCGAAGTATGTAATGATGACATGTGAGCACCAGATGCAAAGTCATCTAATTCATCAAAGAACGAGAACTTCAAATCTAAGCCTTCTCTGAAAAGATGAAAGCAGCTTGATGAGGCTTAAACACTTCTGATTCGATGAATAATCCTTCTATATCATTTCTCACCAGTTTTAATGCTGAGTTTTGCTGCGTTTTACCGTTTTCTTCAGAAGAACCGTAACCAGTAGAATCCTCCATGTTTCGATCGTTTCGATCAAAGCCAGGCAACGTTCCCGGATGGACAAATATGTTTTGCCATATTTGGGCCTAGAGTCCAGTCTCTCTGTTCGAAAGATGCAAAACAAACTTTAATTTCTTGTCTACGGTGTCTCGATCGGCGTCTCCTCATATTTGTAAGCCAAAGTATGAGTTGGTGTCCTGACATCGCCGATTTTTTTCAAAATTGTGATATATCGGCCATCCTTCAAAATTGTTTTATTCAGGGACCGAAGGCTATGTCACCTAAACTTCGCCCAAAACATTTCACGAAATTCGATACCCATCACTCATAACAGAAATAAAAACAAGAAAGAGTATTCCAGAGGAGTTTCAGAGGAAACAGCAGAGCTCTGATGATTTTGTGTGGTTATGGGGAATTTTCAAAGTAAGCGTTCATTACAGAAACGGGAAGCTGAAAATCGACGGTACAGTAAAGCAGTGGAAAAAACAGAACTTAGTAGGCCCGAAGCGTCTAGACCATCGCAACTACAGCGAAGTGGTCAAGGATCTTTGCGGAGGCGATACTCAGAATCTGGAAATTATTCCTACAAAACACCTTGGCCTGTTCCGTTGAGTGAAACTGTCTTCTTGCCTGAGTATGATTCTAAGCAGCTAGTCAAGATCAACGACTTTGAGGTTGGTGTACCTAACCAAAGCAATTAAAAACTGCCACGCTTAATCCTGCTGAAAAGAAACGAATTAATGCAAGCAAAAAAAAAATTCTGCATGTTGCGTGTCTGGATGAAAAATGGATAAGCTTGATAAATTACTTATCAAGCTGTGGTGGTTTGCTGGCTCTGCTGTAAAATGAAAAACACTTTGGATCTTGTCCAGATAATTTCCATCACCCATTGAAAATTCGTCCTACATTTTGCCACATAGAGTTTTTACGGGTAAACATAGCATGAGATTGGGGTTTTGCTAAAAGCAGGCCCACTGCCTGTGGCCCACTGCCTGTGGCCCACTGCCTGTGGCCCACTGCCTGTGGCCCACTACCTGTGGCCCACTGCCTGCGGCCCATGGTCCACAACCCGTGGCCCACAGCCCGGGACGGCCCAGCGGCCTGCAATGGCCTGCAACCTGGAGGCCCGGTAGCCTAGTCCTGATTCTCCACATTTTTTTTGTCCAGCAGTAAATCCAGGCCCATGCACAGATCTGCATCGGGTTTGGGTGTGCAAAATGGACGACAGTGAGTTTGAATTCGTTGACCATTTAATCATTTGAATCCTTGTTTCTGTTTTTTGCATGTTGTTCAGATAAAAACGTTTTGATTCTCTGTTCATTAATCTCTTTACAGAAACCGATAGCACAATTATAGAGGACTTTCATTATTGATATTGAACGATGAAAGTTATTTTCAAACCATACGTTGAAAGTGAAAAATTTTCACTTGACATTTAATGCCATGAGTGATGTGATATGTGAACTTCAAATCTTTTCTATACAGAGACATGTCGATCTCTTTGCAGGAACTCCACCCCAAAAGGAAAGCATGTTCTCAAACATTGCTTTCTGGCAATGTAAGTACCGTATTTATTCGAGTAGAGTAAGCGCCCTGGGCGCTTATTAAATTTTTGGTCCTCAAGGGCAGTGGACCCTTATTCGAGCCTGGGCACTTCTTAAATTTGCACCATTTTCAGCAAGTAGCGGAGTTTTACCTGTTCATTGAAAGTTTTTGTAAATTACTAAAGAAATTCGGTGTTCTGGTAAGTCTCTTAGTGGTACTTACTCGATTTGAATCTCATTATCACCAAGGTGAACAAGTGAACTCTGCTTCTCAGTCAGGCAAGTGATCGATTTGCCAATGTTACGCTGTCGGACATCTAGGAGGCAGCTCCTTATATGAGGTTGGGCGAAGAAATACGGTACATTATTTCGGGTGTAAAAAGGAGTACTTTTCGATCTCGGCGAAAAGTTAAAAAAATCAAAGCCCACCATCACGAAATTCAAATTTGTTGTTTGTGTTGTGCTTCAATTTTACCCTTAATTGGTTCATATTTTCTTTTCCTCTGTTGTTATGATATTTTCACTTTCAAAGTTTGGTTTAAAAATAACTTAAATTGTTCGATAATGAAAGTCCTCTATTGTTCTATTGGTTTCTGTTAAGAGACTAATGAACAGAGAATCAAAACGTTCTTATCTGAATGACATGTAACAAATAGAAGCAAGGATTCAAATGATTAAATGGTCAATGATCAAACTCACTGCTGTCCATTTTGCACGCCCAAACCCGATGCAGATCTGTACGTGGGCCTGGATTTACTGCTGGACAAAAAAACTGGAAAATCAGGACTGGGCCTACGGGTCGCAAGCTGTTGCAGGCCGCTGGGCCATGGGCCGCTATGCCGTAGGCCTGCTTTTAGGGTTGATTCCGTTGAGCACAGTTTGCGTTCTTCAGTTTTTGGAAGTGGGATCCACATACATACCAACTCTCCCGGATTATGCGGGAGTCTCCCGAATACAGGATGTGTATCCCAGTCCTTCATTTTCTTTACCAAATCTCCCGCATAAAAGCGATGAATCGGCTTTCAAAGGCTTTGCTCCTCTGTAGTGTAACATCGTATCCCCAGATTTACCCCCAAATCAATAGGATTTTGGATTTTCAAACTTGTCTCGTCGTTTCTCAAAGCATTTTTTGTGCAACCACATCTTGATAGGAACCAAACAAATGTGTTCTTCATTTTTGGGAATGGAGATCGATTTGATTTACTTGATCTGTTCTAATTGGAGAAGTTGATGGTGGTGGAATAAGAGGAAATTTCCAGATTTTAGATCTCCACACTAGTTTGGTATCTCTGAGAGCTTTTTGGTTTTTTGTATTTCGAATAATTTTTGTATCAATGGAAGCTTTCAAAAGTATGCAAATTATGTAATTTTTAACCTCAAGAAAGTCAGAGCATTCTAATTTCCTGCAAGGAAGAGGAGTTCATGATTTTCAGAGAACCATGCACTGACATGAAATATTTTCATGTAAATTAAGAGATAATTAAGAAATAATTATCAATGTAAATTATGTAATTTTTGACCTCGAGAATTGAAGGTCAGAGCATTCTAATTTCCTGCAAGGAAGAGGAGTTCATGATTTTCAGAGAACCACCAACATGAAATATTTTATGTAAATTAAAAAATGTTTTCATCTCCCTGCTTCAAAGCAGCAAAGAATTTCCTCCTTCAGTAATAAGAATGCGTTTGCCATAATTGAGATACTGTTAGTGCCATGGTTCATTTCCTCGGTTGAAAAGACATACACTTAAATTATTGCAGTGATGTTGTCATAGAAAGAATTGAATAAATTTTCATAGCATATGTATTCCTTTTATATTTTGGAATCACCTGAAAACTAACAACAACATCTAATACTTGCAAGCAGAAATTTAAAATCATTTTCAAGTGAAAATTCTCTGAAAATTTTTTGGCTGCTAGCCAGAGGGTAGTTTTACAGGTACATGCTAATAATATCTTATTTTGTCATTTGCATTTTGCCTTTTCTTTTTGCTTTTTTTATGACAACATTATTGCCATTTGATGTACATGTGCCTATTTGACATAACAAACAAAGAGGCAGTGTGTTTGTGAAATAGTCAGTCGATGATGGTGAGATGTGGTTACCTTTAAGTTGGTGCTTCTCTTGATCTCAGTATATTTTATGGTGTGTCAATTTCCACACAGGAGATAATATTGAAAATCAAATACACTAGTGGTTTAAATCTAAAATAAACTACCTATTAAATATAATATAAACTACAGGGCATGCCCTTTTGAAGATTTTTTATTACTCAATATATTGATAACAACTTTGAAGCCATTTCATACCATAAACACCATGCAAAAAAATGGAAATGAAGTGTGTATGTGTAGAAACTTTTTTTAAAGCTCCATTAGTGACCTGTGGAAACCTCTTGTAGATGATGAGTGTTTTTTTTTTTTGCAGCAGTGATAAGATGTGCTCCTTACTGATTCTTAACTTATGGTTATTTTCAAATATATTACAAAATTTGTGTTTTTTGATACTGTATGTGGACTCCTAGATATTTGTTACTTCTTTTTTTCTATAAGATCCTAGCAAGGGTTGGTAAAGGTGCATTTGGGCATGTAAGTATTTATATGTAGTGTTTAGCTAAATGCCCATTTCTTGTTTTAAAATGCCTTACTGATATGTACAAGTTTATATATGGCTTAGCTCTGACCTGCAACTTTCAGAGTGCATAGCATGGTGAAACTGAAGAAATGAAGATTAATCGAGCTTGTATCTTACATGCTGTTATCATCTTTGACTTTTATGGATGAATGTTAACTCTTTATCTGAACACTAAAACAAAATAGTGAGAGTACAACCTGCAGTGTCTATACCCTGCATGAAGGGTATGTCACCATCTTGTGCAACCTACAACCCTTCAATATCCACTATACTAGATATGTCACCTACCAACCAAAGTCAAAGACAAGGACAAACTGAAAAACAGACAGGGATTAGTTTATGAGATAAATAGCTCCAACAGAGACTCAACAGTGAACCAGGCTTTCTTTGTCCCATGCTTGTGACAAGGCAAGATAACATCTTTCCCTGATTCATCTCTAAGATCAAAATTTGTTATCTTCCTAATCCTTTAAGTGTACAATATGACACTGCAGACATTGGTGATCCTAGTGATATACAGGAGGCATTCAGTTTCACAAGTGAACCTCCTAATGAACATGGCAAATGTGAGGCTCAGTGGTAGATTCCAAGGGTCTGAGGTTTGATTCCTCTCGCACTTGTGACAAGACAAAAAACTATTTTGTATCCAACCTCAAAAGTTACCATCTTTCATATTATTGAGTTGTTATTGCTGTTTCCTCCAGGTGCTTCAAGTGCAAAACAAACAATCTAAAAAATTGCTCGCCATAAAGGTAATTATTTGAGCAGTTCTTATGTCACGGCAGAAAACTAATGTTCTTCCTAACAGAAGTTGAAGGGAAGACGAGAGGATGCCAAGGGGTCAAATGTCTGGGTGTGCTTTGTAACTTTTGATGTGCCCTATTTAAAGCTGTATAAGCATGGTTATTTGAAGCACTTTGCTTCTTTGTTCATTTTTTGCTAGACTCTAAACAAAGCGGAAATCATCAAGGGAAATGCTGTTCAGCAGTGCAAAGATGAAGTAAATATTCAGGTAATTCAAAGTTTATTTCCTGTTGTGGAGGTCATATACATGTAGTTATGAATATGCTATTGCACTGGAAAATTGGAACTGACAGCATACATACATACATATAGTTTTATTTAGTAATGCAAAAAAAAAAGTCAGTTGTGGCAACTTTTACAGCTGATGTGGACCTACCTAGGAAATACTAGAATCTACTATAATTTTAAAACTTACAGAGCATAACAATACTACAGTATTTACAATAAAATGAAGAAACCTGTTGACATTAAAAAAAAAATAACCAACTAATTTTAGATAGATTAAAAAATTTAAGAGGTGTTAATATTTACATTTAATGATACAAAAAGTTAATTAATGTCCTTATTAAGAATTGTTGCGTTCCCTTTGTCAAAAGTGATTTTGCTGAGGTAAGTTTTGTTATGGTTCAGTGCTGCTTTCAAAGCATCTAGCTTTTCCAAGTTCCTTGTCACTCTGGCCAGTGTTCTCCTTACCACAGTCCCTCTATATGAGAAGCTATTTCTTCCAAGCTCTGTTTTCTTCTGTTTCGCCTCAAGTAATACACCTCTGCGCTTTGATTCAGTAAAATTGAAGAATGGCAATAACGTATGGTTTATATAAGCCATGAGCCCTTCTTAACTTTAAAAACTTCAATAGCAAGCCTATGTTTATATAAGTATCCTAGATCTTGCCACATTTGTATATCCTCCCACTTCACAGGCAACAGTGGGCCCACAAACTGATCACATTACATAATCATTACTTCAGACTTCCCAGTCAACTTATTTAGTCTGTAAAAAGTGCAGATCCCTTTAAAGAGACAATTCAGTTTAATTATGACATCATCAGGATTATCTCCAATTACAAAGGCAGTGGTGTTGTCTGCATGCATATGTATGTTGCTCTCCTTTTATGTAACACAGAGATAATATTATTATCTCATAGATTGAGAACAACCTAGGTCCAAGTAATGAACCTTGTGGGAGGCCATATTTAAGGTGTGATTTCACTCCATTTAGTTCAACAAATGGGTGTCAATAAGATAGATAGCTATTCAGCCATTGGAAAAGATTGCCACTTATTCCACTGTTCTACAATTTATGAGACTAGATTACTGGAAAGACCAAGTCAAAAGCTTTATGAAAGTGAAGTGAAGTGAAAACCTTCATTTAACTTCGAATTCCAGATAGCAAACAACTATGCTAATATCTTCGAAGATAAGAAATAAAATTTAAATAGACCAAACAATTATGTGTAGAAATAAGATATTAGAATTTTTAAGCTAGATTACAGAAAGAACAACAATCACGATTAAATTCAATTCGATTTACAGCTAGTTTAAATGCCTTCGTCGTAGGAGCGGTTCTAAGTGAGTTTGGTAACGAGTTCCAGAGTTTACAGGCTGAATAACAGAAAGATTATGTAAGCCATAGTTTGTAGTATTAACCCTGGGGACATTAAAAAGACTTTGGCCATGTAGGTTGTAAGAAATATCTGTTTCATTGAGTAGATTCTTAATATTTACAGGGGTGTTACCATTAAGGGCTCGATAAGTAAGAGTCAACATATCATGTATTTTGCGGTCTTGTAAACAGGGCTGATTAATGTAATCCAATAATCTATCATAAGTGTTGTGAAAGTCATTGAAGACAAAACGGTGACACCTCTCATTAATTTTCTCCAGTTTATCAGAATTCTTTTTGTCACAATGATTCCAGATGATAGAACAATAATTAAGATGTGATAATAGTAATGCTTGATAGAGACATTTCTTAGCACCAGTTGGTATTAGATGTTATGTCGTTTAAGCACTTGGAGTTGAATACTGACTTCACAAACTAATTCCGATACATGCTCATGAAAATTAAGTGCATTGTCAATCATTACACCCAGGAGTTTCATGGAGGAACATAACTGCAGGTTCCTGCTATGAAGTTGTAATGGAAGATCTTCACTATTGGATCCAACCCACATCGAGAGAGATTTGTTGACACTAAGACTCATGCCATTAGACTGAAACCACTCAGAGGCAGATTGAAGATCAGCCTGCTTTGAATGTTGAATTGTGACAGGATCTTGGCTGCGAGTAAAATGTGTATCATGTGTATCAAAATGTGTGTCAAAATGTAAATGTGTATCAAAATGTAAATGTGTATCAAAATGTGTAAATTGTGTATCATCAGCATAAGTGTTGATTTCAGAACTGCGTGAGATGTACATAAGGTCGTTTATAAAAATGTTAAATAGTAGTGGCCCAAGTACAGACCCTTGTGGAACACCTTTATTAATCCTTGTCCAGTCGGAAAACGTATCCCCAATTTTGATTCTCTGAAATCGTTTGGTGAGATAGCTTCTCAACAGTAGTAAGCTATCATTAGATAAACCATAAGACTTAAGCTTGGCTAATAGAAGTTCATGTGGAAGACAGTCAAAAGCCTTTGTCAAGTCAATACCCACAATGGCAGCGATGAACTTGTTGTCACAAGCAATTCTCAATTCTTCCAAAATATGCAACAGGGCAGTCTGACAACTGTAATTCTGATGATAAGCACACAGATATGGCGATAATTTATCCTCAAAAAATTTATAGAGTTGTTGTGATAGAATACGCTCCATAATGTTGTTAAAGGTGTCAAGAACAGTTATGGGTCTGTAATTTTTCTTGAAAGTCAATGAATATAGAACCAATAACTTTTCCTTGATCAGTATGATGATTTCAGGTTTCGGTAAGGTACAGTGGGAGTGACTCTGATGATATACCTTTCCTGTAGCCCCACTGGTTGTCATGCAGTACCTCATTCAGGTGCGGATCAATGGTATCACAGAGGTCTGATTCTGCTACTTTACTCAACATAATCAAGGGCCTATAATTCCCACAGTCTGCGCTGTTTCCACTTTTGTCTAAGTACTTTAACTTTACCAGTCTTCCACTGACTTGGATATTTGCTTGCTCGTAGCTCATTTTGCTTAAGTTTGAGATGCCATAAGCAATTTCCTTAGAAACAATTTTCATTTCTTTTGATGTTATGCCATCGGGTGACCCTAAAAGCCGGAATGAGGGAATGACGGAATATGACCCCAAATCCTAAAACCCGGAATGACGGAATATGATCCCAAATCCTAAAACCCGGAACGGCCGGATGTCAGAACATGTTGACAAATACGATAACGCATGTGACTAAAACTAAGTGTTGATATTTTTTCCTTTACTGAGTATTATGAATAATTATGAACCATTACACATGAAAGGTAGCTGTGTTGTAAACCTGTTCATTTATCTTTTGCTCTGCTAAATTTGTGATGAGTTTTAGTCGCGGCATAGGAAGCCACAGTCAGCTTGTGAAAACTAACTTGACCTACCACATTGCAATAAACAATTGGAACATACTTTTTCTGGTCACGTCTGCATGTATTTAATGAAACATATGCTTGTAAGCATGAGAAAATCATGGGAACCTTTCCATGCTTCTCAAAATATAACGACATTCAGCCACAGCTCCAAACTTAGAATAGCATAACAGCAAGCCCTAGTTGCAAGCTGAAGAGAGGTTGCATGGGGTCATCGCATGGGAATTTATTCGTGGCATTAAAAAACAAAAGGAAGTTGGCAGAAGGAAGCCATCCAGAAGAATTTCAATAATTTTGTTTTGACCTGGTGTCCAAAACACCACCATTCTCCTATGAAATGCATGGCTCACAGATCAGCGAAATAGACTTTGCGAACAAAAAGAGTCCATGTCACCAATTCGTTTAGTGGGTTTATTCTTTTCTTCAGCAAATTGAAAGTCTTCAACTCTCTGGCGTTTTAAAAATTGGCCTTCCAAGGGAAATTTTTTCTTTTATCTTTTATGCCACGAGAAATTCCCACGTGATGACCCCATGCAACCTCTTTTCGGCTAGTGTTATTCGAGGTCTAAAATGTATTCGTGGACGAAAGAAAGCTCTTATTAAAGGGCTCGCAACTAGGGCTTACTATTACGCTAGTCTAAGTTTGGAGCTGAGGCTGAACGTTTTATTTTGAGAAGTGTGGAAAGGTTCCCATGATTTTCTCACACTTACAAGCATATATGTTTCATTAAATACATGCAGACGTGACCACGAAAAGTATGTTCCAATTGTTTATTGCAATGTGGTAGGTCAAGTTAGTTTTCACAAACTGTGCGACTACCTATGCCACGACTAAAACTCATCGCAAATTTAGCAGAACGAAAGAAGGAAAAAAAATCAACACTTAGTTTTAGTCACTTGCATTATCGCCTTTGTCAACATGTCCTGACATCTGTTCCGGGTTTTAGGATTTGGGGTCATATTCCGTCATTCCATCATTCTGGCATTCCATCGTTCCTCCTTTTAGGGTTGCCCGTGCCATCACTCCCATGGGATTTCCAAATGTTAAGTTTTGCCAGTTTACTGCAAAAAAACCTCATGACCAAATGAGATATCAGAAATTGTTGGTGTTATTCTTGAGATGAGTGATAAACCATCCACAGTGGTGGTTGGAAAATTAGAAGCTAATTTCTCGCCACCCACTGTTGCAAAAAGGGAATTCATGGTGGCTGATTTTTCATGATCATTATAAACTAAGACATCCTTGTTGTCCCTGACTGGGCCAATTCTCTTGCTACCTTTTCCTGTTCTTGTTAGCTGGTTTATAATCTTCCAAAAGTCCCTCAATCCTTTACTGGTGGTGATTGGCATATTTTTTCCAGTACTCAGCCTCAGCACTTCTGAGAGCTTTGTTTTACTTATTCTTCAGTTCTTTGTACTTCAACTTATCCTCCGGGTTTCCTGTCCTTTGTGCTTTCAAAAGTTGTCAATACCTTTGGTTTATAAGTTTTCTTATGCTGCCATTCATCCAAGGTAGAAACTTGGAGCGGATCTTTACCTTTCTTTTGGGTAAAAACTCTAATTTGATGTCCTGATACAGTGCATTTGCCATCCAGTAATTGTCATTGATGTTGTCGAAAATACTACAGGCATGCCATGTAGATACCTTGATAGCAGTTTTTCCAGTCAATCACTGTCCTGATTACCAGCAGAACTCTTGTTGTAGATAGTTTCAATACTGTGTATATCAATTTGCAATGCAAGTGTTAAATACCCCTGCCTTAACAACTTTGGTTCTGTTGCTTATGATTGAGAGGTCAATCAGTGTCTTTGTATTTTCCGTAATCCTTGTAGGTACTTTGATGACATTTATCAATGCAAACTTCCTCAGCATATTTGTGAGCTTTCTTCCTTGATCAGAGTCATTTACATTAGTGACCGCATCATGTCTCGTGTTACATAACATTTGAATTAAAGTCACCCATAATAAGAATGTTTTTCTTTTTCTTGCAAACACAGTCAAGTTGCCTTTCCAGCATACTGAAGAAGTTTGTGTCTTTCAGAGGTGTGTACATAATTGACAATGCCAGGTTTTGTGAACGGAATTTTAGCTCAGCCCAAATTACCTCAAGTGTATCTAGATTTGCAGGGAAACAGTTCTGAATCTCAACAATGTCTAAACTTTCGGCATAGTATAGCATACGGCCTCCTCCTCCATCCTCTACTGGTCTGTCCTTTCAAAAGAATTTATACCCCGGAATCATAATATCTTGATCCCGAATTTTGCTCGTCAGCTTGCTTTCTGTAATACCCAGCACATCAAACTTCCCCTTTTCTAATAACAACAAGCTGACATTTTTGTCCTCACAGAAGACTCAGGTTCTTAATTTCTCCTTCACTCTTTACAGATAAATTAGTCATCTTGCTGCAAAAGAAATTAAGTATTTATGAAATTCATTGTAAATGTTAATTATGGAAAACATTGTGAAACCTTGTTTGTTGGTGGAAGTAGTTCTGATTTTCAGTAAAATTATTCAGCCAGTAGGTATCCCATTTTAGATAGCAGTATTTCTGCATTATTTCTCTTGTTAACCACATCATTTTGCTTATCAGTTCAGATAATGTTTATTCCCAAGTTATCTCATTCAGTTCTTTGAAATCTTTAAATCAGTTGGGTTTTGAGCAATTGTACCTTTTGGAGAGTAAACTGTTATAAATAGCAAAGTATTTACTTCTAAGATTGGATAACAACACAACTTTTAATTAATGATGACAGATTTGCTAATCACTTTAAACTAATCTTGCCTTGAGCAGTAAAATCCTTGGAATCTGAATGAGCAATTTTTTTTTCAGATGTGGTAGCTTTGGTGTGCAGTGAAAGGCATTGAAATTAATCAAGTAAACTTTTATACACCTCACTTAAACCACTCGCTACTCTCCAGTTTCTTGACCAAAAGGCTTGTGGAAAGTATCAGTCAATAGCAGAGATATGCATATTTTTTAGTGAAAATACCTTGATTGACTGATATTAGAAAGACAGAAGGAAATGCAAGATGAATTGTTTTTGCTAGAAACTGGTACCTGTTAGAAACTGGGAAACATACTGTCATAGCTCATTAATTTTTTAAGCATTATATTTATTAAGCTATCTTATCTTACCTTTCAGGTACAACTTGGTGAGTTTCCTTTTCTCGTGAAAACTTGGTATACATGGCAAACAAAACACAATCTTTTCATTGGTATGTGTTTCCTACTTTTTTTCTTTTACAGCAAGAAGCAGTTAGTGTACATGTCTGTTGGCATTTTTTTTAAGTTTTCAAACCCAATAAATTGGGATAAAGGAAAGCATTAATTGAACTGGCATGCAACTTTAAAATCAAAGAAAAACTTGAACCACAGTATTTTGCATTTCCCTTTACAAACAGACATTAATAAACAATGTACAGTGTAGCTTGTTAACAAATGTTATGCATGGTGACAAATGTTATGCATGATAACTATTAAGTGAACTTTAATCAATTTAGTTTCAGATTTTGTTGATGGCAGTGATCTGTACACGTTGTGGCGTCAAGAAAAGAGGTTGAATGAGACAACTGTCAAGTTGTATTCTGCTGAACTAGACATTACATTAGGTAAGAGCTCAAAGCTGAGAGTTCTTTAAAATGTCACTTTGCCAATAGCCTCAACTAAACAGATGTGCACCCAGTCTTGTATTTAAGATCTGTCGCCCCTCAATACTTAACCATGGCAAGAAGCATTTGTTAAATTGAGCATACCCTAGGTAGAAGCTATCTTGCAGTTGTTTCTAGTAGCATGACTCTACCTATATTCCCCACCCACTGTTTTGGTAGTCACGTAGATACATGATGCATGTGCGTGATTCGAAATTTGTGGCGCAACCAGGTTCGGCAGCCGTAAACTCTTGAATAAAGCAATACCGCGCCAGCAAAAGCTAACGCGACAACTGACTAATTGAAATCGATCGGAATCGACTAGGAATGAAAAGTATCCTACGAAAACAACGTCCATACTGGCGTAAATAAATACATGTAGCTACCGGCGTTACGTCATTCTTACGTAACCTCACGTAAAAACGCGAACACAGAATATCACAATAGTAGTAAAGTAGAAGACAAACAACATAATATGATATTATTTCACATTTGCTTGACAATAAGTAAAAATGCCAATTCTAGTTGCTACATGGCTAAAATCTGACGTAACCCTTAATAATTATTTATTTCTGGCATGCTCTTTTGTACTACTGAAGAATAGAGAGATGGTGCTGGCAAAGTACAGTTGTAGTTTGGTAATTTGGTTATATCAACTAAGTTGAAATTGTAAATTGGCCACCATAACGAGTTTAAAAGCTGACGTTTCGAGCGTTAGCTCTTCAGCAGAGCGAATCATTCGGTTTCTTAGAAACTTTCACCCTTTATACAGTTGTGTTGTCGTTTGTACAGTTCTAGTGTTTCATGTGTTGCAGATTATCTGCACAAATCAGGGATCATCTACAGGGATTTAAAGGTAACTTACGGCCGCAGTGGGGAATATTGGACTGAGGGCAGGAGCCCATTACTGGGCCCCTGTCGAGGGCCAATATTCCCGGTACGGCTCGAGCAAGCGATATTAGTAAGTAGTTTGTTTCATGGCTTTCGAACCAGTCTTGTTTGTTCCGCCTACTGCCTCCTATAGGAGGCGAAGCCACATGTGTGGTCGACGTGTGCGAGTGAGTGTGTTCTTACCATTAAACTATTGGTTATTGAATGTTAATTGGACAATATTCTCGAATCATCTTTCTCTTTTAAAACAAGGTATTCTTAAATAAGTGGGATGCGGCAGGTTTTTGTTTTGCATGTGAGACATATATTTGTAACACTTCCCTCTAGCGTGATTAAACAACCTCCAGTTCTTTTTAATGCCATAAAAATTGTGCTTTACCAGCAACCACATGCAGTCTTTGACTATATATTTTTTTCAATTTGCCGGCTTTCGCGACCCAAAATACACAGCTTACAACCGTTTCCGTGGAAACGGTCTGTAGGGCAATATCCGAACCGAGTAAAACCAGTCAGAACGCTCGCATTGACCTCAGGACCACCTTGCCATTTTAAGAAAAAATTATTTCTCGGCTTGCAAATCTGCACTCCATGTTAATCAAGTCAGGGAACATTGCCTTTACTTTTTTACTTATACGCGTGTAATTTTTTTTTTTTGATTGAAAATGTAGCTTGAGAATATCCTCATAGACAATGAAGGTAGGGAATTTGGTCACTCTTTTCTCTATATATGTTATCTCAGAGAAACACTACTTTTTATGGTTGTATTTACCATGCATACAAACCTTCGTGAAGACTTCTGTTTCCGATACTTCACTCATTATGCGAGCAAATACGTGTCGTCATCGTCTCTCAATTCGCCCCATAGTTGATTCCATAACAGTTATACCACTTTCTCCACGAATCTTTAGCTGCTGTGCGAGTTCAGGATGAGTGGAGGTTTAATCCTGTTGCTTTTCCTGTTAATATAGGTCACATCAAACTCATCGACTTTGGTCTGTCAAAATTAGTGAAACTTGGAGAGCGCGCTGCGACTATTTGTGGGACCCTGCAATACATGGGTGAGATGGTCAAAGGCTTCCCCTCAAATCAAAAGAAATCTAAATATTAAAAGTTGGTCACGAATTACAACAATAAGAAACACTTAGGTGAAACACAAGTGATCTAACTGCAGCGTTGATTTTTGCGTATTCCGCAGCCCCTGAAATCTTGAACGGTGATGAATACTGCCATGTTGTAGACTGGTGGAGTTTAGGCGTGGTCATGTACATTCTTCTCGCCGGGAAGGTGTGTAAGTACATGCTTTGTTAACACAGAGTTGTCAGTGTTGTAGGTACTACGAATTTTACCCCGTTTTTATTGTTACGCGATAGATACCTGAACCTGATACCTTGGTATCCAAGGCAGTGCGTCTTATGATGAAAGCAGTTACCGTATTTTCTCGAATAAACACCCTAACAGCCTATGGTGTTTGGTCAAGAGGGTGCCACTTTTCCCCTCGTTCAGTCGTAACAAACAACCGCTGGGTCTTCTTTATCGGCAACAATACAGCTATTACAAGGGGCATGCGAATCGTATGTTACTTAACCCGGATTAGTAAGAAACTATAGAGCTTAAAATATGAGATATTTTGAGGTCACGGCCAATAAAGCCAACGTAGGGCACATCCATACGAAGCCCTCATTCCATCTTCACGTCATGGTTAGATCTGGAATGGGGCAACCACTTTGCAATAAGGCGTTCTTAAAGTCTTTTTATTTTCAAATTTACGATTTTGGACCAAAAAAAAACAACTCATGCCAATGGTCTGTCAAGATTGAGAGAACTCTAAAGAAACATTGGAGAGCAGTGCGCAATACGCCAGGCCTTTACTGTTAAAAGAAAGCATTCTCCAGGCGTTAATTCGACGAGGTATGCGTTTAATAGGGCTCTGGCGATTAGTCGAGAAAATACTGTACATAAACTTGAAGCGATCACTGAACAGAAAAGTTCTAGTGACCTGTGTGGTGCTTATACACTTATGGAGGAGTGTTTAGTTTACAAGTAGTTTGCAAGTTCTTCTACTAGTTCTCCTTAAAATTATTTTTATTATACAGCTCGTAGTGCGTTTGGGCAGTAATAAGCGAATCCTGTGTTTTGATTGGCTACCCGAGCGGGCAAGATGGGCCCGTCTTGCCCGCTCGGAATCGCCTTGATCCCGCGCAGGCAAAAATGTGTGCAGAGTGGACTTACAAAGTTCGTAATCTTGGACTGACGGCGATGGAGTCACATAAAAGCGAACAAACAAAACATTAAAAGGCGCTAAAAAAAACTTCTTTTATATGGAAAAATTTTTTTTTGCTATTTTATAATTCAATCATTGACCAGGCCTGTTCGGTAAAGATGGCTAGTTATTAGCATCGTTCTTTACTCATATTTTTTTTTTCGTTTGCGTTTTTATGGACCTCGACTTCGTCTCGTTCCACAAAAACGTAAAAAAAAAAAAAAGAAAAAGAACTCGGTCAATATCCAGCCATATTGACCTTACGCACGGTCAATAACGCATCTATATTGCTTTTAAAATTATGTCGGGGTAAGTACTCCAACACACGCATTTTGACGGTGGCGTGCAGGGGATCAGGATCACCTATCAGTTAAGGTGGCTAAAGTTCCATGTGTAATTTTTTGGGATCAAAAAAAGATCAGGTTATCTGTTATGGCCTTAGGTGCCAGTTCCGGTGCCGCAGTAGATCGGGCAGAAAATTGAATTCAAGTATTGAGGATTTGCAGCCTAAGATGTTAACGATATCTCCTTCCTTAATAAGCACGCTAACATATGGAGTAAAAATATTGGAAAACAGGTTCTCATGAACCGTTTTCGTCCCGTGGTTGCTTGTCAAGGACTCGTTGGAGCCTTAAAACGCATCGCCGGAGTGGGAATTTTTTTTTTTATTTCTTCCCACTGACAATTGCCAAGCCCGAAATTTATGGAAGCTTCAATTCTCTAATGTGATGGTACCTTTAGCTTATGTTTGCAGAACTATTCTCTGCCAGGTAACCGTGAATACCCATACAAAACCTGCATGTCGAAATAGGTCTGTACTTTTTTTGTAAGGCCTTATTTTCACTACTACTTAAGTAGTGTTCATTACTGCGAGTTTTCATATTTTCAAATTCCTTAGTTGTAACGATGTCGAAAAGATGTTAGCCAAAACGATTGCCAACGACAGTGAAGTCATCTCAGTAAATCAGTAGTTACTTTGTAAAGAATTTACATCTTCCCGTCGATATTATCCCACAGTATCCATACCCAGTCACACAAGAGCATGCCACCCAACTCAAAGTGGTCAGCGGTGTCGAGGTTGAATTTCCACCAGACCTTTCATCTAATGCAGTCAGCGTTCTTCAGGGGGTATGGACTTTTTTCGTTACATCTCCAGTTTGAGAAGAAGTGTTTTCAACGGATGAATTCTTTACGTAATCTTTTATAGCTCTTGCAAAAGAACCCCGCTTATAGGATGTCTGGTGTTGAATCGTTGAAGACACACGCGTATTTTAGTGATCTGTCTTTCAAAGAAGTACTGGAAAAAAAGGTGAGTTTATAGACTGGTTTCAACTCCTCGCGGTAATGAGGGAGTACATTAGCACATATAGAAGAAACTCTTGACATTGAACATTAAAGATTGTTTCTAAAGGATCTCACACCCTACATAATGGCACATCAAGCCGGTAAAAGCCCTGGGGTCACTAAAGGAAATGTGACGGCCCAGTATTTCTTACGTGTGTCTCGGTGTAACGTTAAGCATACTTGGTTACCACTATAGTACCACTCGAATCAAACGCACTTCTTTTGAAAAAGTGTTCCTTCTATGACTTAAACAGAGTTGTTGAAAAATCGTTTGTGAAGCTTACTTTTAGGTGCCTCGGTTGTTTTTCTATATCTGTTAGTTTCTTTTGCTTATCTGCTCCCAGTTGCGTACACAACAGTTTGTACACTGTTCTTGTGACTTGTGTTCTTTGCATCAAACGCGAAAAAGGCCTTTTCTTCGTTACATATTCTCACATCATCCTCCCCTGTGTGTCGACATTTGTTACGCCGTTTACGAGTACATTCAATCTGCTTATTGCTTGTAGCGAGAACCCATTACCATGGAAACGCTCAAGACATTAAGGCGGAGAAGTATTGGATCTAGAACGTGAGTAGTCAGTGTTCGTGTTGTTGATGCTATGGTTAGTTGCAGTGTCAGACGTCTGTGAAGAAACCTAACATGTATTTGTTTTCTTTAAAAGGTTGTTCCCCAGAAGAGTTGAAAGGGATCGTCGAGAGAAGCAGGTGGGTCTTAAAGATGAATAATGCTGCAGGCAGCAACACCCATACTGCCGACGGGTCTGCATGCGATGACTGGTCGCATATCTGAAGTTTTATTCATATGAAGCGACTACCAGTATTACTCCCATTCCTTTGATTGGATGCTTGTTCCCCGTAGTAAAACACCCAGCAGTTTTTGTAGTTGATTTATCAATCATCAAGTGACCTCTGATTGCAGTGACATCTACTCTTGGACGGAGGCAGAGGCCTCATAACTGGTCACCGAGTAGAGTAGACTGCCAATCTACACACATACCAACCAACAGTTACTCAGGCACTCCCCCTCCCCCCTGAGTTTTTCATGAAACTCGTTATTCTCAAAGAAATCTCTTTTCTTGTTTTACGCTTGTAGCCTCGCCCGTTGTCGTGGGCGAATCCAGGACAATTCATCGTTCAAGATAAAACCCATATGGACTGGCTTGTAGCTGACTTGAGAAGTTCACGCACAATAACGCTCAGCAATAACGCTCAGCAGTAACGCACAGGAGGGCGCCAGAACTGAGTGCCTACTGGCTTCGTGAAAATGGTGAAGGTTAAGTTTGAAAAAGCTGAAAAGCCGTGGACCACATTCTGGCGACCGGGGCAGCAATAATATCTTCCCTAGGAGACCTTATGTGCGTGGGGTGAGGATGCTGGTCGGGGCCGCCCCATTATAGTGGCGCAAATAATGGCGTGAATTAAGCCGCTTTGTAACATGCAGGTCAGGACAGCCGTAGCTTAAAGTGATTTGAGCCCCATAAGATTTGAGTTGTGAACAATTTTCCCTTGCACATGTGATCTCTTTCACCCACCATTCCTCCCCGCACATTATTTATTCTTAACATATCGAGCTGATTCACGTTTCTGCATGCATTTCTGAGAAGAGTTCAATTAATATATACAGTGTATAAGAAAAATTCGAAATTTTTGTTATAATTGTTTTATGTTATTATAATGTATAACTTTGGCAAATGTTCCATACTAATGTACACATTAAGCGCTTACAAGAGAGATCCTAGACGTTCTTACATTACGTTATAAAGTTATGCTGTAACAGTAGACTGTCAAATTGTGAAACCTATTCCTTCGCGACGATTGTGATGTTCAACTGATGCAAATACTGTTGACTCTTGATGACTGGAACCTCCAGGGAAACTGCAAAAAAATACAAGTTATCGGGCGTCTATAACAAACTAAAGAAAATAGTAGCTAAAGGATGTTAACTATCCCTCTGTTCTTATAGTGTAAATTCTGATCAAATTTAAATCACAACGTAGACTCGTGAAGTTAAAATGGACCATTTTGAAAAAAAAGGCCTAAATCAGTGTTGGCAAGATATATTACACTGAAATGAAGTGTACCCAAGGGGCAAAGCGTGACTGGACTGTTTTTGTTATTTGCAAAAAGGTAGATAGCAAAAAAACTCGACTGTCTCGAGATAATTCAATGGCTGGACTCTAGAACTGGGTGTTGTTTCCTGGTTGAAGTGATCTGGGGTTAAGTTATGTTGGAAATGTCGCGACGGGAAACGAAAATTGCTTTGAATTAGCGGAAGGGTTTAATTATCGATAGTAGACTGTACCTTTGACCTAATAGCAAATTAATAAAAAGTATAAAAAAAACTGTCGCATAAGTGGCACGCCAATGGTTGGTGATACTGTCAACCCTAAGGGCCTAATGAATACACTGCACGTGAAGAAAAAAAAAACTGCTAACTACTGGTCATCAAAGCCATGTTGAAAATGATACCAAATGTCATAGATAGTCTACCCGAGAATGCGAAGATAGTCATCATCATCATCATCATCATCATAGTTTATTTAATAAAGCAGGTTGAGGGATAGGCAAGACATTACGTCCTGATTTGGACCTGCATCAATTAAACTATCAATCAATAAATACCTAATTAGTGAATAGACCGAAAATGGTATGTAAATAATGACAATTAAAAGAAATAAATATTAATAACAATACGGAGTAAATGTTAAAAGTATTTAAAGTCAACAGATTTGTAGGAAACGCTGCAGGAAGCTTTAGCAAAACTGATAGATATCAGAATTCTCTTATTTTCCCCGAGTTTTCTCTTGAAGGAAGTTAAGTTTGAACTGTTCTTCATGTCTTCGGGAAGGAGGTTCCAGGATAGTGCAGCTCTGTGCTTAAACGAAGATCTTCCCATTTCTGTTCTTGGTCTATGAACCTTAACTTTTAGGGATTTTCTTAAGTCATAAGGAGTCTCGGATTTCACTATTAAGTCATTTAGAGGCTCAATGCTATTTCCATGATAGATATTGTACGTAATAACTAAAAGTCTCCTGATGTAAAATGAAACAATAGAGTTCCAGTGTGGAGCGTTCATGATGTCATCACTGTGGATGCTATGGGGTAGGTTGTAAATAATTCTAGTAGCTCTTAAATGAATTCGATCAATATCATCCGTCAAGGTTGAAGAACAAGACCCCCAGACTACAATGCCATACAAAACGCTAGGGATAATAGTTTTATAATATTATCCAAGAAGACTAGAATGTCTATCCATTTCTTGATATTATAGAAAGGTAGCAAATTCTCCTCTGTTATTTTTAAGACCATGAGTTTTGGTCTGGCTGGGGCTCAAACCCTCGACCTCCCGCACAACACAATCCAGCGCTCTAACCATGTAATGCCACAAAGGTTGCTATA